TCCAGCACCACAGCTCAAAGGCATCAATTCTCCTTCTATCATCCCTAGTCATTGTCCAGCTCTCTGATGCATAGCAAGTGATTGCAAAGACAATGGCCTGTATCAGGCACATCTTAGTCTCTAGACTGACATCATTGCTTTTCAGTACTTTGGAGAGCTCTCTGACAACAGACTTTCCTAATGCAGTAAGTATTTTAATTTCCTGGCTACTGGTGCCAAGAGTGTTGTTTGTAAAGCCAAGCAAACTAAAGCTGTTAACAATCTCATCTTAATCAGAGTTGTTGTTGATTGCCTTTGAATCGAGCACGACTGATAGTGACCCTATGAACAAAAGGCCTAAAGTCCCTCTACAACTATCGACATTTATCAAAGTTCATAGTTTCCAGAGGCATGTTGTTTAGGAAGTGGCTGCCACTCCTGCTTCCAAATCTGTCATAGAAGGTTACTGGTTGAGTTGTCTGCAATGCATAGCATCCCTATGTCCAGCAGCTCTGAACCCTTCCCTGTCCTGAGCCAGTGTCACTAATTCTGACACGCCATTGCCCGAGTTACTGTATCAATCCATCTCATCTAGGGTCTCCCTCTCCTATTCCGTCCACCCTTCTGAGTATGATGTCCTTCTCCAAGGACCGATTGTTCCTGGCCAAGTGCCCAAAGTATGTGAGGTGGAGCTTAAAAATCCTAGCCTCCAAGGAGAGACTTAGTTTCACCCTCTCCAAGACAGACCTGTTTGTTTTCTTGGCAGTCCATCAATCAGAGTAGTTATACCAAAACTTTAAAACACACTGCCATTGGGTCAATTCTGACTCATGGCAACTCTCTTAATGGGTTTCTGAGGCTGATTATTCATCTCAAGGTTGACAGGAGCCTTAGCAATTTCTGTTCTTAAAGACCTACCTTCCAGCACTACATCTTTATTTGTAATAAATGTTACTGAGTTGGATTGTTGTTAGGTGCCGTCTAGTTGAGCACAACTCATAGCACCCCTATGAACAAAAGCTCTGAACCCTGTTCTATCCTGCGCTTCTATCCTGCTGTTCTATCCTCACACTTCCTTATACACAAGAGACACTGCAGCAGTCACTGTGACAATCCACTGAGATGGATAGTTATCTACTAATAGCATGTATTTACAGAAGTTTTAATTTTGATTATTAAAGAACTAAATGCTGAAGTAATTAATTTCTTGAAAATCTACATTTATAACTGGTTTTGGAGTTCATTTTCTCCTCTGGGTCAAGAAGATCATATACTACAGACTTCAAGAGCCAGTGGAGGATGGAGGGTAGTGGAGGGAGCAGTAAGAGAGGGAATTAAAACACTTACGTTGCAGAGACTTCAGACACAATCCTTGTGAGGTTTATAATGATAGACAAAACTGATGATAACAAAGAATTTATTGTAAATGTAGTGGCAAATACGTTGAGAATAATCCTCATTAAAAAGGAACTAGAAAATTACACATGTTTAAAGAATGTGCTTTTCCCATGCCACCTCTAAGTGTGGCTAGTATCAACATTTTAAGTACTGATATATTAATGGGATGGTCCACATACTATCATGACTGTGTATCTTCATCTTAAATCTTAAAGCAGTTGGCCAAGAGTTTCAGTTTCAATTATTCTCCGTTTTTATCAATTCTGTAATGATTTGTAGAATCTTGTCATCTGAGTGGAAGAAAAAGAAAATCATTAACCAATTCAACACTGGCTAATTTTCCAATGCATGTAAAAAGGCATACATAATTTTAAAGACCTTCCTAAATTGGAACACAAAATTATTATCAGTAATATTCCCTACGAAACTAGAGATATCTGTGTAATTTGTTGCCTAGTAGCAAGGAATTGTGCTGCCGACCCAAAGGCATGTGGTTCGAATTCACCAGCGCTCCACAGGATGGGTAATTTCCTCTCATGTGACTTACAACTTGTGAAAACCTGTGGAAGGTCAGCTATTAGTCAGCTCTAATTTAGTGAGTACATAACAATAATATTTATATTATATTCATTTTCAGGGATCGTAAATCGCATGGGAGGAGATTGTCTACCTTCCTCCCTTGAAAATATGAGAGGATTTGAACTGCCAGAGGAATATCCTCTGTGTTAGTACAACTCCCTATGGACCACTCGACCAGCGCTCCCTGGTGGGTAACTGTTGTTATGTTCCAGTGAGTCAGAGCCAATTCCTAACTGAGGCAGTAAATCACATGGAGGGAGACTGCCTAAATTTCTCCCTTGGAGCAGCTGTGGATTCAAACAGAGTGCCTCTGGGTTGGTAAAACGACCCTACCATTCACTAGGTCACCAGAGGTCCCTAGAAGATAATTAGGCTCAAGAACAGTCTGAGCTTGATGGAGTTCAGAATGAAATATACTGAAAAAAATTCTAATCATGTGAAATTTAAGGCCTCCACATGTTGTTGCATACTCCAATGTTAAAAAACAAACCAACTCTATTTCTAGCATTTATCTTCTGACTTTTCAGAAGTTTTCTCATGTGTTTACATATCTGTATACAGGCATGCCTGGGAAATACAGTGGATTTGAGCCTGTATCACTGCAATCAAACAAGTATCACAATAAATCAAGTCACACAAGGTTGTTGGTTTTCCAGTGCAAATAAAAGTTAGGTTTACACTGTTGTCTACTAAGTGTACAAAATAGTATTATTACGAAGTTTAAAAGATTGCAAGAATTACCACATTGTGATAGAGACACAAAGTAAGCACTTGCTGTTGGACAAATAGTATTGACAGATTTGCTGGCCATAGGATTGCCACAAACCTTCAATTTGCAAAAACCACATTAAATGCTACGTCCCTAAAAATAAGGTGTGCCTATTATGGATATGCACACACATGTAGATACATACATGTTTGATCTTCTACCTACATTACAAATTTTTTTTTTCATTCTCCCTACTTACTTTCAAGGGACATCTTGGGATTTTCAAGTTTTTTTCTTAAAACAGAATCAATCAGAACTCTCAGCTGCTTGAAAATAACAGCTATTTTCACAGGGGCCTGTTGAGAGATGAAAAATTAGACAACGTTAATCCAGGACAGTGTCAGTGTGGTGAAATATACATATATATTTATTCATACACACACACACACACATATACACACCTTATAATCTGCACTAGAGCATCTTGATTTGACTAAAACTACAAAAATCCAAACCCACCACTGTCAAGGTGACATGGACGCACTGGGCTCCTTCATCAGGTTTCAAGGCCTGCGAATCCTAATGTGAGGGGGAGACCACCTCATCTCTCCTGTGGAACCGCAGGTGGGTTTGAATTGCTGACAGCATGGTGAGCACCCTAACAGTTCACCTCCTCAGCCACCACGGCTCCTAAGGTAAAGCCCACATCTACAGTCTACCTCAGCACAAGGCGCCCTGGCAACACAGTCCAACTATATACGCCATGTGCACGTCTGGCAGCTGGATTCAGCAGTGGCTCCACAAGACAAGCATAAGCAGTCTCCTCTCGTTAAGATTTATAGACTCAGAAACCTGAATCGGAATTGACTTGATGGTTGTTGAGTTTTGGTTTTATCTTAATAGCACACCTTGATTTTAACACAAAATACAATGAAAGTAAATCAGGTATGTAAGCTATACAAACCTCTCAATTATGTTTTATTTTCATATATGAATTTTGTAGGCATCAGGGCAGTATTTTGGGGATTTTTAAAAAGTTTTGTTGAGGTATAATTTAGAAACTGTACTATTCATTCAATTATCAAATATACTGAATTTTTTTTTCAGTACATTTATTGTGTTTTGTAACCATTACAACAATCTAGTTTTAGAACATTTCTAATTCATTGCCATCCACTGATTTCAATTCCTAACAACCATATTAGATAAAGTAGAACTGCCCAACAGGACTTCCAAGTTGTAGACTTTACAGAGGTAGATAACTGTATCTTTTTTCCAAGGAGTGGCTAGTGGGTTGAACTGCCAACCTTTCTGTTAGAAGCTGAATGCTTAACTGGTGTGCTATAATGGTGCCTTCAGGCTACTCCTAAATCTCTACTGCCACCAGGCCCATTCTGATTCGCTGAAAGTCTAAAGGACAGAGTGGAAATGCCTCATAGGGTTTCCAAGGTTGTAAATCTTTATAGAAGCAGACTTCTAGATCTTTCTCTCATGGAGTAGCTAGTGGGTTTGAACAGACCTTTTTGGTTAGCAGCTAAGTGCTTTGACCACTATGCTACCAGGGCTCCTAGACACTTCTACCACTTCTAAAATGTCCATCATACTTGTTTGTAAGAACTGCATATATTCTTCAAGACTCATTTAAAATTTAGCTCTTTAGTATTGATGCCTTTGGGCTGTGGTGTTGGAGAAGAGTGCTGACCATCTCATGGACAGCCAAAAGAACAATAAATATGTCTTAGAGAGGGTGCAGCCAGAGTGCTCTTTGGAAGCAAAGAAGATAGAGCTTCATCTCCCATACTTTGGGCATACTGCTAGGAGGTGCTATTCCTTGGAGAAGGACATGATGCTGGGAAGGGTGGAGGGTTGACAAAGGAGAGGAAGACCCTCAACCAGGTGGATTGACCTGGTGACTGCCACATTGGGTTTTAGTGTGTCAGGAAGTGTGAAGATGGCACAGGATAGGACAGAGTTCAGATCTGTTGTTCACAGGATTGCTATGGGTTGTACTTGACTCAACTGCACCTAACAACAGTACAATATAGAGAGTTACTATGCTAAAATAATAGGATGTGTTATATTTGCTTTGTTTAAACTGATCACTTGTTTATACTGAGACTACAGCAATATAACATTTACTGCTGGTAGCACTGATGGTTGAACCAAATTTTCCAGAGAAGAATCCTGACCATATGCATGGAAACTATGAAGCTGCTTATGTCTTCTGCCCTAGTAATTCCACTTGTAGGAATCTAGCATTGTTATTTCAAAATGTGAAAACTGGAAATGAATCCAAATGTTAAACATGAATGGAATGTTTACTTGTTATCGATAATAAATATAATTTATAATAATAATAATATCATGGGCTTTTAAAATTTAACAGATTTGAAATTAAAAGACTTATAAAATAAGGAAGCTTCCTAATTTAAGTTCAACAATAGGAAGAAATTATTCACACTCTTATTAGATTGTTTCTTAAAAATGTATTTCATGACATTGAAAGTAGAAACTTTTATGGAAAAAATCAGTTGGACTGTATACCTGAAAATAGATCCAGCCATCAACAGAGAGAAGGCGTTCCCGGTGCTGAACTTCTATATCACCACCAAAAAGAAGAACTGGAAAAGGCGTTATCAGGGTAGTTTCTCTCAAATACACTCTGGCATATCTTACCTGCACAGGAAAAAAGGCATGAAAAAGCAACATCACAGCCCCAAATTACAAAAGTCCATCTTTTTCATGTAAGCAATTATTTTTTTTTAAAACAAGTGTGATTATGATAAGGTATAACAAGATTTTGTAAAGCTACATGTTTACATTCTCTTATATGCATGATTTGTCAATTTAAAAATAATCACTCAGTATCTGTGAATTTATAACACTTAAAAGCATTATAAATATTAAGGTGCCAAGTATCTGGTTGTTAGATCAAGATGGCCACAATTATAATTTCTCATTTGTCACATTTCAATTCTATGATACAGGGGGAGTTATATAAGCCAGTGCTTAAAATGATAGATCCTTCTTACAGGAGATACACTTTAAATTAAGCAAAAAAAAAAAATAAATTTGAAATTGAGCTATTTCAATTTGACATATTCTCATGATGGTATTGTTAGCTTGTCTTACTGGCCTCAGCTCAACGTGACTCAATGTACAAAGGCATCAAATAGCTAGGATCCATCATATTTTCATTGGCGGACAGCTCTAGGCCTTTCTTCCTAGTCAGTTTTAGTCTGGAAGTGTCCCTGACACCAGTTTTGTGTCACAGCAACATGCTAACTTCCACTGACTGACTGGGAATTGAACATGGTGTCCCACATGGAAGGCAAGAATTTTATCACCGAAAAACCAGTGACAACTAATTTGCCGTAAGCTAAAAATGAAGAGAATGGAATGATTATGCATCTGTGTCTCAAAATGCTCACTGATTTATTATTAAGTTACCTTGGGTGCTAATGTGACTCAACTGCTGTCAAATCATAGCTCAAATACTCCAACCAGTCTTCCCCCAGATTGGAAATGGCACACAATAGCCAATTGTTCCCTTCCAAAGTTACACCTTTTCTGCTCCAAAGCATTCAAGGACTATAAATCTTTTAACTACAGGTAGTTCCTGGGCCACCAATGAGAACCATTCATCATTGTTTTGTGGGGTGTTTTTTTTAATTATTATTACACCCCCTGTTCTTTTATTAAAATTATTTCTGTGTCCTGATCTAAGGCTCTGGGTTCTTTCTGAGATGCTTTTTCTCTCATTATTTTCAAGACTCTGTAGATAAGTTGGAACAAGTGCATATGGTTCTTTCTCACTTCACCTTCCTGTAGTGCAAGAAAAGACCTGAAGCTTTTTCAGTGATTCACAAGCTTCACGTGTAGCAAGTAAACGTGACTGTAATAAAGAAATTGTCATGAGAAGGAGCTGGCTCAATTGATCCAAAGTCAGAAACAAATTTACCTAACATTAAAGGACAAGTAGGAAGAAGTTTGTTTTTTTCAAGAAGGTAATGGAGGTCGGAGTAGAAACTTTCTATATTTCTCATTCATTAAATTAACAAGAAGTAAGCAATTTTTTTCAGCTGGGTTTTCATATTCTGCACATCTTGATTTAAAAGATGAAAATGAATATGTCAATTTGAGAATACATGCTGAATTCTGTTAAATTTGAATGACTTCTAAAATATGCTCTGCTTATTTGAACTTAAGAACGAATGGGTTTAAAGTAAGAGTGAGCACTTTACCTTCTCTTGGTATAAAAGCCATCCGTAAGCCTGCAAGTCCCGATTTATAGAGGAAGGGTGAACTTGTGCTTTGCCTTGGGCTGTCTCCACCATGCAAGCCAACTTTTCAGTAACGTCTACTGATTTTGTATAGTTGATCTTCCCTACATTATCATAGAGTCCAGCAGCCAAAACAGCCTTAAGAAGAGCAATGTCTTGAAAGGAGAGGGCCTGTGGAGTTGGATTTCCTTCCCGGCTGCTTGAGGTTGTGGATGATGAAAATCCTGCTGCCTTGACCAACTTTATCAACTCCTGTTTTATATCCTAGGTTGGTTTATGTTAAAAAGGGACAAGATCATAATTGATTAAAATAGAGAAACTGCACATCACCTTGGAATTTGTACTCTTGTTCTGATAAAAATCAAGATTATGCTAAATTAGTATTTAATTAACCCAAATACTATTACGGAGGAAAACAAAAAGAAGCCCTGGATATTATAAAGCCAAGAATGTCTAAGATGTGAGAGTAGTAAGTGTGCCTGGATATACTTTCACTTATTGTACCTACTTCAACAGTAGCTCTCTTTTCTTCTGACATTTTTATTTAAAGGAGGATAAAACAGAATTACACGGAGGGAAAAGGCAGTCAAAATTACTCTGAGAGTCTCACTTTCATTTTCTACAGGATTCAGATAAACTTTATTAATGGAAATTCAATTTACTCTAACATTATAGATGAATATATCTTTCTACATTTAGTAATACTCGTCAGTTAAAATAGTATAGGAAAATGGGAAGGATAAACATTTTTCAAAGTAAACAGGATACAAGGGATTAAAAGGTGATATTTACATTTAGGATATTCTGTAGATTTTAGGTTTGGGGCTGAAGGCACTTTGATTTCAGGGGAGGAAAGACCAAATAGACAGCTTCTGGAATAAACAGGGTTAAAGCGATCTAAAACCTTATAGTCCAGGGGAGGTGATGCAAATGCTCACTAAAGAAAGGGGAGCAATTAGAGTAGGGAGAATTAGACAAGGAGAGATGATAAGCTTTCCACATCTTGAATACTGGACAGGTGACCCAAAGATGGCTTTCTTGAATTTAGCACTTCATCAACTTTGAGTGGAGGACAAAGGCCATTCCACTTAGACATATCCCTACTGTCATTCCAGCAGTTATGTTAAATTCCGTAAAGGTTGTAAGCCAAATTTTATGAAGAAAAATCTTTAATTTTTTAAATATGAATTTGTTGTTGTTGTTGATTGCTGTCAAGTCAAAGTTGACTCATAACGACTCTATGAACAAAAGACCTAATGGCTTTCCATTGCTATCTGTTGTTTCTCCAAGTTCATAGAGCTTCCAGAGGCATATGGTTTAGGAAGTGGATGCCATTCCTGCTTCACAACCTAATTTACAACTGGGAGCTCCACTGAACACTGTCCACAATGGGAAGCCATTATGGTATTTGATATCCCCATGCCTCAAGGTTTAGCATCATAGAAAACAGGTTACTTCATACAGCATATTGACAAAGAGTGATGTGCAAAGGGAAGACTATTCTTCCAGATATAACAGCACCACTCTCATTTAGCAGTGTTTAAGTATTGTTGAGTATGACTCAGAGTAGGCTTTTCACAAAAGACCTGAACTCTGTTTCATAATTAACATTATTTCTATACATTTATAAGAGAGTTTGAGGGATTTCCAGAGGCATCTAGTTTAGGAAGTGGATGCCACTCCTGCTTCCCAACACGAATCAATCTGAAAGCTCATCCAACCATTCACTGTACATAATGTGTAACCATTACAGTATTTGACAGGACTATGGAATAGTGTTTAGCATCACAACAACTACAAGTTGTTCAGTACAGCAAACAAATAATTGCTGTGTCTTTAAAAGAATATTCTTCAAAAATTAATAAATAAAAATCCTACAGGATTTTAAAGCCACTCCCTCGAGGAGGCCTCCACCCTTACTCTTAGTCTAAGATCAGGGGCCACCCATTTTTAAGGGGGAAAGAGAACAGCAACACACAACAAAAAAGACCCCAGAAACTTCCCTTGCCTGACTGCCATCAAGACAAGACCACCATCGAGATGCTAGGCAGCCAGCTAGCTGACTTCCAGAGTAAATATGAATTTAGAATATGAAAAATCTTTAACATTTTAAATATTAATTTAGAATATGGGAATTATGTCAGAGACAATGTATAATTTTTAAGCATGTCTGTATACATTAAATACCATCTTTCTTTAGAAAATATCAAAGAACAGGCCATGCACTAAGAACAAAAACATTTATCTGTGGGAGGGTCTTACCTTGAACAAGCACTTGTCTTTACATTTTAACTATAATTCTATGCTCCTAGAAATAATTCTAGTCCTAAACTTCAGTCAAAACTTGAGTAAAGGGGAAAATCATCAGATTTCCCTGCTTAAACACAGACTTATGAAATTGGACACCTCGGCACAAGAGTATGATGTCCTGGGTGTTTTTTTAATAATTAGTTTATTACACAGTATAGCTAAGTACCTGGTTGATATTTGGCTAAGTATGAAAAAAGACAGATCTCTTTGGAACAACAGTTGATCTCAAGTCAGAGGTATAAAATATGCAAGAAAAGCTGGAACATCTGTCTTGCTATAGTAAAGCAGGACATTATCAAATATTGCGGAACTTACATGAAAAAGACCCAGGAGTCAATGTGAAGGGATTTCACTAGCCACAGATAGGACAATTTGAATATGAAATATTTAACATCCATAGTAGATCAAAACAAATATACTTAAATCAATGTGTTCATAACATTTTTATGGAAAAAAATGTCACTGATTATCTGTGAAGATGTGGGGAACCAAGTGAAAGGACAGAATCAAGCATTTACCTTATCTTATGTTAAATAAATTGTATATTAGAGCAATCAAGTATTAAAAAAAGGAAAGATTCTTCTCTATCACTCCATCAGGTTTTCATAATTGACCTTTGAGAAGCTGACTGTTAAACTTTATGAGATACCTTTGGGCAAGTACCTCAGATGGTACTTTTTAGTTGGTAGTCCAGTACATAAGCAAAATTTGTACAGTCCAAGGACTCCTTGGCCTGTTGGACAATTTATCTGGTTTCTTAGAAAAATAAATAGCAGATGGAACAAAAAAACTAAAGAGGGGTAACTAAAAGAGAGACTTTGGAAACACAACCACCAGATTAAATGTGCAGACCTTGTTTGGATCCTGATTGGAACAAACTAGCTGTAAGATAACATTTATGAGATAACCAGGAACATTTGAACATTGACTATACTTGGTTAAAGCATTCAGTTGCTAATCAAAAGGTTGGTGGTTCAAATCTATCAGTCATTCCGTTGGAGAAAGATGTGACAGTGCCTCTATAAAGACTGTCGCCTTGGAAACCTTGTGGGACAGTTCTACCCTGTCTAATAGGGCTGTTAGATTGACTCCATGACAATGTGTTTGCTAATATTCTTCTTTTTCTTTAAGTTTTACATTTCAGAGATATATAGAACTGATGTCTGGTATTTGCTTCAATATAATCCAGATGGTAAAGGTTAAAATAAAGGCAATAAAAATAGAGTAAGATTCAACTCAAAATTCATTGCTATTGAGTCGGAAGAAACTCATCATACACGGGATTTCTGTGAATCACAAGAAGATTGGCCCTCTTTCTCCTGAGTAGCTTCTTCTGGAGGCCTCTGGGTTTGCAGAACAACTCACTGTGGATTAGGGGCGGGGGCAGAAACTGGCCAATTATAGAAATAGGTATCAACGGTTCACTATGCTGTTCTCTTTTCCATAGTGTAGTTACAATTCCCTAGAAAAATTTTTTAAAAGTTTCACAGCTGAGAAAAATTGTAGGTTCTCTCTCTTCAACTCTTTCTTTTAATATTCAGTGACTAAAGTCTAAAGAAATTAATTAAGCCACTCCCTCTGAGTTATTCAATAAAGAATTCTTATAAGCTAGTGATATTTCTATGAAATCATGTTGCTTCCATTTTCTAAAATTTTTTTTTTCACTCATTGTGTAACGCATATAGGTTACCTGGTAGAAGTATTAACAAAAAATTTTAAAATTCATTAATTTAATTCAATAAATGCTAATTAAACATTATATGTGTCAGATAATACTCTAGGGAGTCCTCTTTGCAAATAAAGCTGCTGATCAACCAAATAATGCTGAATTAGAGCACTGGATTAAGACTTACCTCTAGGGTTAACAGTGACGTTCTGTTAAGAAAGTTCCTCCGGCAGTATGCCATTTCAGAACGACAGCCTCCTTCTTGTCGAGCTTTTTTCCATCTACATAAATAAAACGACCAAAGTTCAGCATATTTCCTCCCCAAAGGCGTTTTTGCAGAGAGATACCCACCAAAATAAGATTTAATTGTTGTTGTTGAGTACTGCTGAATTGCAATATACTCATAGCTGACCCTCCAGGCGGTTTTCAGAAGAAGTTTAATCGCAATGGAGGAGCAGCTGGTGGATCTGAACTTTGGGATTGCAGCTTCTTACCACTAGACCACCAGTGCTCCCTGGTTTAACTGCAGTCACTTAAATAGGAGGGCTCTTGCCTATAATTAGAGCTATCAACTGTATATAACACTTTCAAGGATTGGAGTAATAGATTATTGTATATATATATAAATACGTATGTTGTTGTTGTTATGTGCCATTGAGTTGCCTGCCACTCATAGCAACCCCATACAGAACAGCTCTGAACCCTGCTCTATCCTGAGCTAACATTATTGTCTCTGACACACTTATCCCCATTACCCAGTCACTGAATCAATCCATCTCATCCAGGGTCTTACTCTCTTGCACTGTCCCTTCAACCTCCCAAGCATAATATCCCTCTCCAAGAACTGGTCCTTCCTTGCGACATGCTCAAAGTATGTCAGATGGAGCTTCAGAATTTTGTCTCCAAGGAGCAGCCTGGTCTCACTTTCTCCAGAATGAACATGTTTGTTCTTTTAGTAGTCCATGGTATATTTAATACTCTTCTCCAGCACCACACCCCAAAGGCATCAATTCTCCTTTTATCATCCCTAGTCATTATCTAGCTTTCTGATGCATAGCATATAATTGCCAAGACCATGGCCTGTATCAGGTGCACCTTTAATCTCCAGACTGACATCATAGCTCTTCAGTACTCTGGAGATGTCCCTAACAGCAGACTTTTCCAATGCAATTCATCTTTTGATTTCCTGGCTGCTGGTACCAAGAGTGTTGATTATGGAGCCAAGCAAATTAAAATTGTAAACAGTATCAATCTCTTAACCATCTATAAAGATGCTGCCAATTGGCCCAGTGGTGAGAACCTTTGTTTTCTTGGAATCTTTATTTTCTTGATGCTGAGCTTTAATCCATATTGAGAGGTGCAGTCCTTGATCTTGTGCAGCAAGTGCTTCAGGTCCTCCTCAGTTTTGGAAAGCAAGGATGTGCCATCTGCGTAACGCAGATTATTGATGAATCTTCCTCCAATCCTGATGCTACACTTCTCATAAAGCCCCGCCTCCTGGACGATCTGTGCCACATATAGAATGAAAAAAAAAAGTATGGAGATGGGACACATCCCTGGCATACACCCTTCCCAATTTTAAACCATGTAGTGTTTCTTTGGTCTGTTCTGACGACTGCCTCCTAGTCCAAGTATAGGTTTCACATAAGCATAATCAAGTGTTCTGGGATTCTCATGCTTCTCAGAGTTAGCCAAAGTTTGTTGTGAACCACACTATCAAATGCCTTTGCATAATATATTGTTGTTGTTGTTATGTGCACTTGGTTGGCTTGTGACTTTTAGTGACCCTATGTACAACAGCCTTAAATACTGCTCTATCCTGTGCCAATCTTATTGTCTCTGACACACCCACCCCTATTACCCCAGTAACTGAGTCAATTCATCTCATCGAGGGCCTTCCTCTCCTGCACTGTCTCTCCACACTCACAAGCATGACATCCCTCTCCAAAGACTGGTTAATCCTTGCAACATGTGCAAAGTACATCAGACAAAGCTTCAGAATCCTTGCCTCCAAGGAGCAGCCTGGCTTCACCCTCTCCAGAATGAACCTGTTTGTTCTCTTAGCAGTCCATGGTATATTCAATACTCTTCTCCAACACCACAGCTCAAAGGCATCAATTCTCCTTTTCTCAACCCTAGTCATTTGTCCAGCTCTCTGATGCATAGCAAATGATTGAAAAGACCATGGCCTCTATTAGGTGCCTCTTAGCCTCCAGACTGACATCACTGCTCTTCATCACATTGGAGAGGTCTCTGACAGCAGACTTTCTCAATGCAATACATCTTTTAATTTCCTGGCTGCTGGTGCCAAGACTGTTGATTGTAGAGCCAAGCAAACTAAAGCTGTTTACAATCTCAGTCTCTTCACAATCCATCAGGATGCTGCCAATTGGCCCAGTGGTGAGAACCTTTGTTTTCTTGATACTGAGCTTCAATCCATATTGAAGGCTGTAGTCCTTGACCTTCTGTAGCAAGTGCTTCAGGTCCTCCTCAGTTTTATCAAGCAGGGTTGTGCCATCTGCATAATGCACATTGTTGATGAGTCTTCCTCCAATCCTGATGCCACATTTCTCCTCATAGAGCCCAGCCTCCCCGATAATCTGTTTTCTACATAGACTGAAAAGGTATGAAGATATGACACATCCCTTGCGTACACCCTTCCCAATTTTGAACCATGTTCCCTTGCTCTGTTCTGACGACTGCCTTCTGGTCCAAGTATATGTTTCGCATAAGTAGGAACAAATGTTCTGAGATTCCCATTCTATACTATTGCATAGTATATAGATCGTTCAAATATTTTAAATATGAAGTATGTAGGTATAATACAAATACATTGGTTTTTAAATCTTGGGAAGAATTTATACAAATACGAATCTCTAAGCTAATTAACTACACTTTGACCAAGAATTAACTAAAAATGAATCTTAGATGTAATCATTGAGTAAAAATAAAAAATAAGCTTTTTACAAGTAAATAATCACAGGTCAGTGGCTTACTGACAACTCTGAGATTACTTCATACCCGAGATAGGCATTGTAGATTGTCAGGTGGTCTGAATCTGCCATAGCCAAAGCTGACTTTGCAAGATCTGCCTCATCTTTCCGGCCAATTGGTGTGGTAAAAGGCGACTTCTCTGTCATCACAGCAGCCAGTGTTGCCTGTCCACAAATAACCAAATTATAATTATTAAAAAGATATATTTTAAGGCTACTTTTTAAAAGAAACAAGAAAACAATTATACTGTAAGTTGCATGTGTCCTTTAAAAATAAATATATATTTTATTAATTTTAATGAACATTTACAGAGATTTTGGATTTCCATTCATTCATTGTTGCACTTTTCTTCCTGCTCACCCCTCCCCCCAGTCGCTCCTCTCTTTGAAAAGTAAAAGAAAAATTCTTTCATATCCCCCCACCTCCTACCTAGTACACTCCACCCCACTCTGCAAATTTTTATGGTAACAGCCAACTTAATTTTAAATGGTTGGGGTTTTTTTTTTTTTTGTTTTTTTAAAAAGTTATTTATACTGTGCAACCCACTTCAGTGCTGCAGCCTAGGAGCAAGGAGGCCAGGCAATGGTTTAGGGCTACAGTTCACTCTGGCATGGAACAACACTAGAAGAGACCAATGGGGACAGACAGGCCTGTCATAAATCCAAATACATGTAGTTAAGTGGTTATTTTTAATTTAACTTTCTAAAAAATTTAAAATATACCATCTCTGTAAAGTAAGGAGTGTCAATATCACCAAAATCAGAAATTTAAATATAATAAAAAAAGTCAACATATTGAATGTTTAAGTGATTTCAAGTCTATCATATAGTTAGAGGTGATCCTAGAATAACAGCTTAGTTATCACCACTCCTAGCCTGTTGGCTTTCTATTACCTGCAATGCTCCCTAAAATTAACTAAGTCTCTCTAATAACCATGTGTTGTTGCAGATCAACTCTTGTGGCAGAGACTGGAACAACTTTGCTGAGTACCTATTCTTATACTAGGAATAAAAGGTCAAGTTACACTTTCCCCATTCTAAAAGTTTGATTTGTAGTTCCAGAAAGGGCTTAGCTTCATAAAGTTAGAAAGTTGGACTGGCGCAGGAGGCAAAGAGACCCAGGGATTAAAATACATAAACAGAATTTGTTCATTCTGAAACAATATGAGAAACTAGAACTGCTGGGAATGCTGGTTCAGACAGATAAACACCCCCCCCCCCCAAAAGTTGGAAGGTTTTGCTTCTATCCTTTGAAGTTTATGTTGTTCAAACTTTCCTAAGAATCATCTACTGTATATCCGATTAAGAAAATATTTCAAGTGGGATATCTGATAGCAAAGCCTACATAACTCAAACCCACTCAAAATAGTATCCACAAGGACATTTTAAATGGACAGTACACTTAAATAAATATAAAATTTAAGCATTATATTTAAAAAATTCTTAAGCAGTCAGGCTTCTGGACTTTGATGTTAGTTCAGACAGCCTACTTGTTTTTTTAAATTTTTTTTTAAAGACAAGAAATTAAAAGTTAACAACTATTTCCAAATTCATTTCTCAGCCCAAATGATATATAAACTAAAGTATCATCATTATTTGACTTACCACTGGTTCAAGGCAACCAAATATGGCACCAAAAATAAGCATTTTTCCAATCTTGACATTGACAGGCAAGGCTGCAAGGTGCTGGCCCAATGGAGTCAGTTTAGGCTCATTCAGTTCACAAGCTCCAATTTTTCGGAGTAAGTTCATTGCATTGCTAATCACTTGAAGCTGAGGAGGGTCTAATGCTCTGGAGAGGAAATCTTCAGGAGAGCCAAGATTGCATTTCTGCAATTTAAAAAATAATGAGAAAGTTGTATATAGTAAGAATCAAAACTGCCAAAAAAGAGATGGTCAACTTGAAACCAATTTTGAGGTTATTCAACTTCTAAGCAAAGAAAATAATGTGTATGTGAGTAAGGTTCTTCCTTTCTTTTTATTGGAGAGTGTGCATATGTCTGTGTGGTAAGGATATAAGGATAAAATTTTCTATCTACATGTAAGGTTTTTTCTTTGTTCTTGATTCTGAGAGTCAAAATATCGGAGAATTGAAGGAGATTTTAGATCTGTCAGTCTAGGAAGTCTAGTCAAGGTTTCTCAATCTATTGGCCAATGGATCAGTTAATTCTTTGCTGAGGGTGCTGTACTGGTGTACTTTAGGGTGTTTAGTAATATCCTTCTAATGAATGCAGAGGCACCATCAATACTAATCCCTGTTAAAAGAATCAAAACCAACACCAGATAATGCTCAAATGTTTACAAAGATCAGCAACATCCCCCCAGCTGAGGTCTAGGTTGAGATTGTTTTAATTTATAAAGTGTGTTTTCCACACAAAGTACAGTGAGTTCACTTATAAAATGGTATTTACATAAAATTATCTTTAATTATTTATATGAAATATGTCATCATTTATTAAAGAATAATATAATGGGGAAGATAGAGCAATGTAAGATAATTTTAGATCCTTATGCTTTTCTGAAAAAGGATGAAGGAAAAAAAAAAACTTCATCTGAGTTCCCCTGGGATTACCATAATATGAAGACACAATTCCTCCAGTGGTACACGCAAAATTTCAGGAACAGAATAGTCCATAAAGCCTTCAAATCTGAAAGAGAATAAAAAATGTTTCTAAAGAGTTCTCATATTATGAGAAGATTTCACACAGTCTGAATTACTCGTGTGTTAAATTCCATATGTTCCACCTAACCTTTCTCTGGTGTACATTCGGAAGCAGAAGCCATCTCTGACGCGCCCAGCTCTTCCCTGGCGCTGGAGAGCACTAGCTTTACTGACAAAAGTCTCAACCAAGGAACTCATCTGACTGCTTTCATGGAACCTGAAGAAATGTTGCAGGAGAGAAAACAGACAATTTACTTAAACAGAAATCTCAAAAAGCGTGACACAGTTAACTCTTAAAAGGAAATTGAACAAAATACTTTATTGCACATGTTGTTGTTATGTGTCATCGAGTTGCTTGTGACTCATAGTGACCCTATGTATAACAGCCCTAAACCCTGCTCTATCCCTTACCAAGCTCACTGTCTCTGACACACCTATCCCCATTACCCCAGTGACAGACTCAATCCATCTCATCGAGGGTCTTCCTCTCCTGCACTGTTTGTCCACACTCACAAGCATGACAGCCCTCTCCAAGGACTGGTCCCTCCTTGCAACTTGTTGAAAGTATGTAAGACAAAGTTTCAGAATCCTTGCCTCCAAGGAGCAGCCTGTTCACCGTCTCCAGGACGAACTTGTTTTCCTAGCAGTCCATCATATATTCAATTCTCTTCTCCAGCACCAAAGCTCAAAGGCATCAACTCTCCTTCGATCATCCCTAGTCATTGTCCAACTCTCTGAAGCATAGCAAGTAATGGCAAAGAACATGGCCTTTATCAGGCACGCCTTAGTCTCCAGACTGACATTGTTGCTTCTCAGTACCTTGGAGAGGTCTCTGACAGCAGAATTTCCCAATGCAATTAGTCCTTGATTTATGATGTATTCAAGTTATGATGCATCATACTTTAGCCTTTTAAAAACATAATTAGTAATATTTACTGCATATAAAGTTGCAGTGTGTAATATGCTGATGTTATCACTCTCACAGATGGTCAATTTTATGACTTGTTGAAAACACTGCTGTACAGATTTAATTTTCCTAAGCAAAGCAAGCAAGGGCTTCTGTTGCTTGAAAGCATGACCCCAAATGCTGATCACTTTGCCACAGTGGATAAGCAGCTTTGGCAAGCAGTGAGACATTAGCTCAAAATAGAGGGGAAAAGAGAAAAAAAAAGGAACGACAATTCTTCACTAGAAACACCATTCCAATTTGCAAGGCTAATCTAGATGATCCAAAACTTATAAGTGGAATTGTTACTGCAATTGATAAAATTGCAATGTCATCCAATTCTTCTTCATAGTAAATTTTAATGATTTGTATACATTTTAAAATGTGTATGTAAATTAATGCCAGTAAATTTATGTGCAATGTCTCCAACCCCAAAGATAAATAAGATTAGATTTATAAAGATACGATAATATGTGTTGTGCCATCAAGTCAAAACCAACTCCTAGCTGACCCTCCAGTGGATGTATCTGGGTGCCTAAAGTTTTATCATTCAGATGTTTTTTCCAGCTAATGATTAACTGTCTATTTTGTGGTGAAGTAATTATTGTAATAAGAAGAATTAGGATGGAATATAAACTCCATCCTATTGTTGTTGTTGTTATGTGCCGTCGAGTCATTTGTGAGTCATAGCGATCCTATGTACAACAGCCCTAAACCCTGCTCTATCCTGTGCCAATCGCATTGCCTCTGACACACCCATCCCGATTACCCCAGTCACTGAATCAGT